TGTTGATAGCTTCCATTTTGCCTTAAGTGTCCCTGCCATGAGCTCAATGAGCAGCATCAGGATTGTGTTACAAAAGCATTAATCTGTACTCATGCAGCTGGTCCAAGGGCTGTTTAAGAAACAGCACAAGCAGCTGTTTACCAGCAGCACTTAGAGAGCTGCATAACCAAGATTACTGCAAAAAGAACAAACTGATCTTCACACCCTCTGGCAGGGATCAAGCTATTTTCAGAGGAAAAATAAATAAATATACAGACTGCAGAAACTAAACCCCAAATTAAAACTCACCTAGAATACTTGATAGAGCCAAGAATAGGAAAGCTTGAAAAAATAAATTATAATTTCTTACTTTATCACATAAGTCAGAGCCTTCTGTCTTCAGTTTAGACTGCAGAGAGGCTATTTCATTTGTCAGGGCCTTGTGCTCCGTCTCCAAAGACTTTTTGCCACTGTTCAGGGTGGAGATGTCCCGTGACTGCTTGTATTTATTTACTGCTTCATCAAAGTGACGGTATAGCCCAAGTCTCTTGTTCACCAGCGTAAGCACTTGCTCTGTGATGCAGGCAACCTTCATCCTAGCTTCAGCAGCTGGATCCTGTGAGAGGACAGAAGGGAAGATCAAAGCAGTCATATCTTTGACCTGCATCAAGCCATGCTTGCAATCTGCCACAGGACGATTACAGAAACTGCTCTCTTTGCAATTAAGTCAACTGATAGTAATTAGGGGAATGGTACAAGTACTAACTAGGGCAAGCACCTTTCAGCAATCAGTTTAGCCCAACAAATAGCTTAACGAAAAGTAAGTGAAAACACTGCAGAAGGAGAATTGCTCTTCTCAGGGGAGGATTCTTTTTTATCAGAGTTTTGCCTTCTGGATTAGCCTTAGCACACCAGTTCAAACCTGCAGGAGTATCAATGCTCAGGTAGCATAAAAACAGGGCTCCATTAAAGCATCTAGTAAAATATCCAATCATCAGGAACATTCAGCAAGAATTACTGGTATGAATAATCTCCAACTATCAGCTGAGTAAGCCACTAATGTTCCCACAGGGCTCTTCATCATACAGCACCTTAGTGATGGAAAAATCCAGCCTCACATAAACAATCACAGTGAAGAACAAGATGTAAAAGGCTCCAACCACCAACAGAGGCTCCTGCAGCATCAAGATTTTGTTGAAGGTGTAATGAACCTAGAAGAGAAGTTCGAAACACTGAGCAGTGACCCGTGTTACTACAAGAGAGAACTCTCCTCAGGCAGCAGCAGAACTGGCCATGCAGTCCAGCAAGTATTATTTCAGGAACCCAATATGGGTGTTTTGACCATGCTGCTGAATTCAGAGGCGGCACAACTGCTTAGGCAAACCATGCACAGAGGCCACACTCACCACGATGTCTTGGATGTGCTGCTCCACCAAGTTGCTCTTGTGTGCCACAATAACTGGACGTCCAAAAGTGTCCAGATATGTGTAGTGAAGTTCATCAGAAGCACGATTGATTTCATAGGGGCTGTCCACATGGATATTCCTTTGGATAAAACCAGACAGTCCCATATGACGCTACACTGTTTGAGATGAAGTAACCTAGGACTTGGCTGGCCAACTGTGGCCTCTAGCACAGGGCCAATTACGCAGTTTAAACAACACTTTAGAAGGAAGCAAAGCTGTGTTCCAAGGTCTCCTTCACATGCACAGTCATGGTTTTGTTTCACTGTCCTCAGGCCATTACAGTAGGCTGGAGAATTGCCACCAACACAGCATTGTCTGCAGTAACAAGCCAGGAATAACGACACTTACTTGGCACCTTCTGGCAGGATGATCTTGACAGTCAGAGAGTCCGTAACTTGTTCATCAAACACGTGATCAACAAACCTCATTTTCAGGGCATACTGATCACCTAAGAGAGTGCAGACCAGAGGGTGGTTGTAATTCTCAAAGAACAAGATGCAACCTTGAAGCTCAGCTCCTAACAGAAGCCAGAGCAGAACTCGGACAGATACATTATGCAGCAGGGGGCACTAGCTCGCTCAAGCATATTTTAACCAGGTATCTACAAAAACCTGAAGGAAGCACAGAAAAGAAGGTGGATTTACATATTCTAGAAGTAATAGCTAGCAACTGTTGTTGCTAAGGTGCAGCGTACCACAGCTTTGAATTCTTTACTGTACAGCAACCACCTTTAAACACAGAGAAGGTGGTTTCTTATTCCGTTCCCCTGTGCCACCTACCGAGATTGTAGAGGTATTCATAGCTTGGCAGGTTATAGCCGATGATGTAATGGGTTTTCCATCCCCCAAAAAGTGGGAAGCGGGGACGGATCTCCATCTCTACGGAGTCATCCAGGACAAGCAGGTGGCTGGTGGAGATGTTTCCGATTTCATCTCTGTAATAGACGTCCTGAGCAGCAGCTGGGAGAATGGTCTGCAAGGAGAGAAGCAATACTCAGTGCATCAGCTAGGAGTTATTTCCAGTGAAACTGGCGAAACCAATAATGGCTGTTAGGCACCGAGAAACCGTGCTCCCATGTGAGAGATGACAAAATGGCCATTCAGTTGCACTGAGTGGTAAAATTGTGCTATTATAAGCAATCAGCCATGGAAGTGGCTGCCAGCACTAAAATCACTTGGCCTCTGAATGAATGTGCTTTCTCCAGCCCAGTTTCAAATATCCCAGATAGCAAAGGATCTCATCACACCCACCAGGACAGCAATTCCCTTTTCACTCTAGCCCGCTGCCCTAGCTCACTGAGCTTGCTGGCTCTACACTGAGCAAAATGAGATTTCTGTTTGGCTGCACCACCTTAGAGAATTACAACAATCGATCCTGGAGGCTTCAAGCAGTGAGAAAGGTTTGGTTCAAATGAAAACACAGAATGCTTTTCACATCTGGCTAGCAGAGCCACATCTTTAACTCTTGTCGTGTGCTTTGTGAGCAAGGAATGAATGGGTGAGTTTCCAATTAATACTGTTCAACATGATGAGGATATGACAGAAGGCAAGTCTGAAAATAAGAGGGTGGGGACAGAATGAATGGCCCTTGCACAGTGGAAAATGGAAAGCAGAGCTGTCAGCACAGGGATAAATGGTGTTAGAGGGTGCCTGAGACTGGAGGTGAGGAAGTGTGGAGAAACACTACATGCCCTGGTATATGTAGTTTGTTTGGCCAACAGATGCAATAAAGCATATAACCTCCTAATTCTGCCTCCAAAAGCCATTCCTATCTAGCGTAAGCCTTCTCTGAAAATAGATCAGAGCTCTAATATTCCCTTAGCACTTGGATATGGTTACCAAAGAAAAGGAAATGGACAGCCTTCCCCCCCCACCCAGGGATGCAAGAAAGGGGAAAGCTACAGTGAAAAAAAAAAAATTAAAAAAACTTAAAAAATTACGCAAAACGTCAACCTTAAAAGACTTGACAGAAGAGATCCCACTGTCTGGTTGTCTCTGGTAGTCGTATCTGGAGAAAGGACCTTTCAGCACTGCTCCTGTGTGCTTTAAATCAACTGTCTCTTCAACCGCAATGTTCCCCCAGTGAGACACCTCGATGACTCGGGTCATACTGGTGATGGTCAGGAAAGGACTGTTATTTTCATAGTGTACCTTCAGAGTGTCCTAACAAGGAAAAAAGATAAAACTATTAGACCTGAAGTAAGGAGCAACCTCCCCTTACAATTACCTGTCTTCACGTCCCACAGAGAAACCTCCTCGACACACTCTGCAGAGAGGTGAAGCTGACTGCACGGGAAGGTTTGAGCCACCCCAGCCCAGTTCACACAGGGCACTGGGTACCTGGAGTATACTCATAGGTCACACCCCACACATCTGGCTGAGTTATAATGGTGAGGGGGATAGAGATGCAGTCTTCCCCATTGCAAATACACCCCTGCCAGAACCATGCACAAACTGGCTTGCTCTGTGGACACCAAGCAGCGATCAGCAATTATGTCTGTACTAAGAGCATCTTGTTGGAGCACATGGTCCTAGCCCGCATGCAGGCCAGCTCAGGTTTGACCTGCAATACTTACACAAAAGCCTCCGCTTACCACTCTCCAGCCTCTGAGACACAGGTGACATGTTTTCAGGATGCTCTCTGCAGAGTGACAACCTCTTTGCACAGACATTTACCTGGCTGTATGGAGGAATGTCCTTGAAGGGGCCATATTCAATCATGTCTTCAGTCCGGGAAGGGTTGCCCAGCTTGGTGTAACTCTCCACGTTCCTAGAGGCCAGTTTGACTCGAGTCGTTTGGGTCTTGGTGAAGTACGGTGAGTAGAAATAGTGATTTCCTTCAAAGACCACAAACTGCTTCTCGCTTTGGGTGATGTGAGTGGGGTAGGGCTGCAGGACATGTGTGAAAACCATTTCAACAGATACACGGATCTTGGCTCCTGGTGCCAAAGGAGATGGCAGCTTCACAGAGAAGAATTTTCCACTGGAAGGGAGAAGGACAGGTAAGTCATGTGAGGTCTCCCCTGAGAGAGCAATCAGATCCAACCCCTGCAACAACTCTTGTGGATGGGAGCTCATGTATCACATGTATCACGTGGGATTGGGGCCAGTATTTTATTTGCTCCTCCAAGGTGTACAGACGTCTTGTCCCAGAAGGTGTGCTTACTCTGGACTGGGGAAGCAGGACAGGAGGCAGCACAGAGTAAACTCTGTCCAGGAATAATCACAGTCTGCTTCACAAAAACACCTGGCTCCCATTTTGTAAAGGGAATAGTGACACACTCCCCTCCCTAGTTCTACACTTATAAAGCATGCTTCAGCAACGGTTTTTCCATTCTTCTCCAGATGACAAGAATGATCTGCATCAGAGGAAGCATGTGCAAATGTACAGAAGACAAATCACAAACATCTTAAGCACCTGTTCCCACAAAGTCTGTTCATTCTCAGCTTTTTGCACACAGGATCTGAAAATAAGGAATGGCCGGAAAATGAGCACGATTTTGGACTAAGGTTCTACAGAAAGGATCAAGATTTCACCAAACCTTTAAGGACACACCAGATGGACCAAGGCGATGACAGAAGTGAATAGACTTCAAGTCATGCCTGGTGACCCAAGAACAGGATCACATGAGGCCTCCAGATATGTCAGAAACCAGTCTACCGTAGCAACTTAACTCCACAGCTACTGTCCTCTTGAAACCCAGCAGCGCTGTGCTTCTGACCCACTTTACAAGCACTCTTTGCTTCTCAGCTCTTATTGCTCAGAAAGCACCCAATATCCCAAGCATCGCAGCACAAAGCTTCATGTCAAAGACAGCATCCTCTGTCCTTGCAGCAGGCAACAGCCCATTCTGGCCCACAGTATCCAGTGCACTGTGGCACTCCCCACATCACAGATTAAAAGCGGTGCTGTGGGGACACAGCCAAAGAGTACTTACAACCTCTCTGTAATCACCACTGCCAATCATTTGAGACCTCAAAAGTGAGCAATGGGTAAGAGCATGACCATAGCTATAATGCTTCTCTTACTTGATGTCCCTTAATAAAGGAACAGGGCATTACTTAAGGCACTGAGTACAAGAGACTAAGCACAGCTGAGCCCCTTTGAAGGCAGCTGAGTTGCATTTAAGAGAATGTGTCTCCCTTATAGGGCTCTCCCCTCACTAGTGGCTATGAGAAGCAGGTATGTGCTGGGCTCGGTGCAGGGATCTAAAACCACATGTGCTATCTCCCACAGAAAGAGCATCCGAGGGACGAGAATGACTCCTACTGGGTCCTCTTAGGCTGCAGGAATTGGGTTTGGCTGCTTGTGTGAACTGTGTTCCCTAGCTTTGTAACACCCCAGGATACAGCCTGAATACAGAGTGGATCTTTTCAGCAGCAAAAGACTCTAGGATCTGTAGGTATGTGGGACTGGGGTAGTATTTCTGCTCTGCTGTGAGGACAATGGTGGAACCCCCATGCACCACTCCAGGTACTGACCTTACAGGGTAACACTCACCTTTTGCCCTTAACTTTAGTCTCTCTTACTTCCAAGGTGTTCTCCTCCTCTTCCTCACCCTTCACCTGTTCCAAAACAACAGAATGATCAGTGTGCTGCTGTTTAAAAGACTTCACATGTCCAGGGCAAACTCCATACAGTCCCTATCCACTTTTTAGGAGGATACGCCCCCCAAAATTACAAAGTGATAGATAAGTATTAAAAAAAAAAAAAGGAAACAAAACTCTTTTACAATATTTTTCCTTAACACAAATTGCAGTATGGTCAGCATGCAACAGATACTGGAGATTTCTGGTAACGCTCTCAAGTTCCCAAGCCAGCACAGTCACTGTAACTTGTACAAATCAGAATTTCAGTCAACTGCTTTTGTGATTCCTCTTGTTATGTTTTCTACAGTGGCTGAGGAGCGAGGAGCTTGGCCAGTCAGCAAGCAAAAAGGAGATCAGTGCAAATACTTCTGGGATTAGAAGAACCCTCTTGCACGTACATCTCGTGGGGCAAGAGGCTAGACCCCATCCTCAGGCCGGCACTAGCTGGGATCCAAGCACTTTTTTTCTGCCGCTCCTCTCGTTACAGCGGTAACGATGTTAATAAGCATCTCTCACCTCCCTCATCACTTCCCAGACCTTACCACCTCAGCCATTCACCCCTCTTTGTTCCGTACAACGACAGAAACCTTTCGCTTCATTGTTTATAAGCCAGCTGGAGGG